ATCGAGATAAAAATATTGTATTACCATCTAAAATCCTCACAGCCAATCCAAAATCAGCAAGCTTCATTTGTCCAGAGGCAGTGAGAAGTATATTTTCAGGCTTTATGTCCCTGTGGACTACACCCATCTCATGGCAGTACCTCACAGCAAGCATGACCTCCTTAATTATACAGGCGGCCTTGCGCTCAGAGTACTGTCCTTCTCTAGCCATCTGATCCAGCAACCTTCCGCCCGAGCAGAGCTCCATCACCAGATGAAAAGACTCAACATCTTCATACACAGCCTTTAAAGTCACCACACCAGGGTGACCAGACAAGTGCTGCATTATCTCCACCTCACGGTGCACAATTTCCTCCCCTTTACGCAAAATCTTGCATGCAAACTCCTCACCAGTTACCTTACTCCTGCACAGCACAACTGACCCAAATTTCCCTTGCCCCAATGATTTGGTCAATTCATATTCCTGATCGACCTTCTTTTTCCTACCCAGACGAGTGGCAATGTCGATACAGCCAATTTTCCTTTTAAGACCTCTGCTGGGGAGTTCCAGCCGAGCAGTTCCACATGCCGGGGCAGTTGCAACACCGTTAACAACACTTCTGCTTGAATCAACTGCTTTGGACACTACTATTTCCTTGCATTTCTTCTTTTTTCTCGAAAAATCTCCCAGCGAAAAATGTGACCAGAGTACAGCTAATTGAGTTTGTTCGTCGGCATCGTTTTCACAGGCTGGTGAAACATCGACTCCTTTCCTTTTCTTCCCCAAACACTCCATCCAACAAATCGGAAGCTGTGAACTACACCGATTCTTGGGAAATCGTGAGCAGCCTAATCAAGCAAATACTTGGATTCCATTACTGAAGATTTCGATGGATTAACTGCTATCAGATACCGGTTAGTAGAGGAGAAATATTTTTCGACATTTTCGACCTAATAGCGATCGGTGAACATAGCCTGCCATGCGATAGTATTTATAACTGGGGAAAACTCTGAATTTGGCAAGATCCTGCGTCTTGAGCAAGGATTCAAATCAAGGGCACGAAATAAATTTAAAAACAAAAAAATCTAAGTGGCATCAGAATTACTTTTAGAAGAATATGTAAATGAATAAGCAACTAGTTTTCGTACCTCCACATGCACAAGGGTACTTTTTCCTGCGCCCCATTCAACAAATCAATCGGAAATCCTCACCGATCGATTCTTGCATCAATCCAAGAAACCCAAAATATTCATTTATACTAGCAAAATCAAGGTACAAGAAAAGAAAACCCTAGAAAAATCTGAACTAAACTAAACCCCTCCGCAGACCACTCTCCGAAAGATCTAGAAATTTGAGAGATAAAAATTATTCAGTAAACTGGAAATTGCAAAGCCGACGAATATATATACGCTTGATGGGTTAATTGGAGAGATTCAAGTCTCAAAGAGAAAAAAGGAAGTGTCAAAGTAAACAAAGGAGTCCTCACGAAATTGGGGGAATTATTCGGTGCAATGACTTTCCTGCTTTGCGTTACAGTTTCATACTGTATACCGCTGTACACACGTGATTCCAACAAACCGCCGCTGAGCTTCGCGCGTCTATTTAGATCTGGCTGTTGGGACAAGCCTTGGGATTATAGGTGGACGGTGCACATCAGATCTTTAGTTTTAGTTTGTTTGGCTTTGGTTTGCCAAACAAAATAATATTAACTGTATTATAATAAAATATATACATAACATTAATTACAATTTACTTATTATGTTTGGAATTAAATGATGAAACGGACCAAAGATCGACTCATCGATCAGTCTGGTTCACTTAAATAACTTTTGCTACTGAACTAGTCATACCATCCGACCGAACTGATATGATCTGTATGATTTTTAAATAAATTTTGATCCTTTAAAATTATCTTTTATACGAATAAACATATATATTTAAATAAAATGAAGATTTATAAATTATTTATCAATTAGTTTAAACATTTAAAAATTTTAAATTGTTCATATATTTAATTAGCATGTTGTATATAAATTTATTACAAAAATTACAGCACATATATGTATATATTAAAATATTAATCAATTAAATTCGGGTCAACCAATAAATCGTTGAATAAATAGCTTGATAGGTCTAATGATGGTTTGGTTCTAGGAACCTTGGATATACAGTACATTAATAAAAGTTGTAATACAATTTTATTTTGTTCAAATAATAACAAAATCTATATATAATTAGAGGCTATCCAATTAATACAAAAGAAAAAAAAAATCTTGCCCATTTTTTAGGATAAAACCGTTACATTTTAAGTGTAATTATATTTTATTAATAAATCAATCATGTAATTGTTATTACAAAAATCAATTAATATATAATTTGGGGATACTACATTAATGCAATGGTTTTTATTTCCCATTTCTATAAATATATATATATATATATATATATATATATATTGTAGTTTAATTTTGTAATATTTATGTATGTATGATATCAACAGCGAAGTACATTAAGAACACCAAGTATCAAACAGAATTACATACATATTAATTTTGCAATTAATATGTATGTAAAATCGATGCACAGGCAAACAAAATAAAGTTCGTGCGGAGAACAATATTATAATTGGAGCATAATTATCTATAAATAACATTATTTATGATTACTCATTGTTTTCAAAATCGAATTGGACGAGATGGAACGAGAACCGATTCATCGATCAATCTGATTCGCTTGAATAACGTTTGGTAGTGAACAGATGCAGTACATGAGTATTGTTTTTGTGTGACGGATGTAGTTCCCCAGGGGCCTCTATGCACACACAAAAAATAAAAATAAAAATTGTCAGACTATTTTATTTACATTTAGCCTCACATGTCGAGTCTTGTATAGCCAAAATAGGAGGGAGGGGAGTAGTTGATATGGCATACAAAGCTCAGTCTAAAATGGAGCTCTTATAGCTCAGTTATGGATCATAGATCCCCTAGCTCAACGCGGACCTGCTAGGTTGGAGGGGTGACCTCAGGTTCTTAGTCACTCGGGATCGAGGCGAACGATCCCTGATTGTCGAACTGTGATGAAGGTATGTCAAACTGTGAGAAATCCCAATATGGATATGACCGCAAGGATCCTTATAATCTAGGAATAAAGAAGTAGATCTTGGGGGAGTTTAGAAAGATTAGTTTTCTTAAGCTAATAGAAGACTTCGAGGATAAGAAAATCATTATATATTAAGAAGCGATATGGTTGTCGATAGATTTTTAAGCATTAATAAACTCTTAATTGTTCTATATATGAGGGACTGACTTGATCATCGAAGGTTTACACCAGGAATTCCTCCCGTCGTTTTACAAGTCATGAGATGAAAAGGTCAAAATGAAAAGTCCAGTTATCGGCTCAAGTAGAAAGATTCCTTATCAGTCGGCATCAACAAACCACCACAACTTTTTTTCTTTCATGTATGTTCTATATTTATTTATTCACCTAATAATGGTCCTGTTTGGTAGATAGCAGATTGAAGGTAAATTAGCGGATTGGACTTAATTGAGAGGTTTGACCCGTCAAATCCGCTATTGAGTCTGTTTGGTAAATAACTTATTTGATAAGCTTTTTGGCCCCAAAACTCTAATTTAGAAAAAGCTCATTAGAGGAGCTTTTTGGGGATAGAGGATTCACAAAAAAACTTTTTACTTGGAACTTTTTAATTTGTATTATTTATTTTAAAATCTATATTGGTTTATGGTGCTAATAAATAACAATATGTCATCCATATGATTAATTTATCTAGAAAAATATAAAATTCATAACTTTTTCATCAAGTTTTAGGAAATTTAAAGAAAAAAATAATATATTTATAAATTACCAACTAAAGAATATTAAATGTTTTAATATAATATTATTAAAAGAATACACTCTAAATAATAAAATATCTTTATTGGTCATTTTGTAATGTCAAACAGCTATAAGCTTTCATCAAGTTTTAGGAAATTTAAAGAAAAAAATAATATATTTATAAATTACCAACTAAAGAATATTAAATGTTTTAATATAGTATTATTAAAAGAATACACCCTAAATAACAAAATATCTTTATTGGTCATTTTGTAATGTCAAACAGCTATAAGCTTTCAACTATTTACCAAACACTTATTTAAAAACCGCTAATGCAATCCGCTAGTCAAATCAGCTAATATAATCCGTTATCCGCTATCCGCTATCCGCTGATACAATCTGCTATCCGCTATCCGCTATCCGCTGATCGCCAAACAAGGCCAATATGACATAGTGATTGTCATTATTTTATATAAATATTAACACCAAACCTATCAATAATTAGCCGTTGGTGATATTTGTTTGTGTGAAAATAAAATTTAATTTGTTTGTAAGTTAGAACGCTAAAATCAGTTTATGTACGTAAGATTATGACTAATTTCTGTTATGTGAATATTTCTCTAGTTGTTATGAATAAACTAGAGAAAATTACCCTATGAACTAACTAAAATATAAAATATTACATATATATTAAATCCCCTCTATATATAATTTCAGAATGCGCTGAGTCTACGTGGCAAACTCTCATGCTTTGAAATTCTATATGGCAAAAAACTATGCTTTAGAGTTAGACTTGGATATAAATTAATATATAATATTTTTTTCTCTTTTTTTCTCTCCTTGTGCGAAAATAATTCTCAGACTCTTATTATGTCACAACTCTCTCAAAATAAACTACTTCATCGCTACCAAATTAATTCCAAGTGCCGAAATTATTTCCCAATTAATTTCTTCCAATCAATTTGTTCATCACCTAGACTCAGACTTGAGTCATTTATTTGGGCCCTCAAATCTAATTTGGGCTTTTCATTTTATTATATAATTCGTTCATCAAATTTTATAAATGTTTCTTCTTTTTATTTTAAGATTTTATAACTTTTTTTTTGTATTTTATTTTTCATATATGATATATCAAATTAACTATCTTTTAATGATGTTCGATTTGACATCCATATTATATATATAAAATACCAAACAGTAATATATATCCTTATAAATAAAATTTAAATTTATTTATCAAACTAAATTAAATTATATGAAATAAAACTATAAATTATATTATAAATAGAAATTGATATGTATTTTTTTTAAAAATTATATTTATTTCAAATATAATTAGTATTTTGTCAATCTAATAAAAATAAATAATTATTTATCTAAATTTTAAAATTGCATATAAAGTTAAAAAACTGTGAAGCACAACTCATATGACACTTGATGTATTAGGCATCTAATTAAGGAAAAAATTAATCTATTTTGCTTAATATTAAATAAACATATTATACATTTATGCATATACATATCACCATATTATTTCTATTTCTTTAAGATATATATTTTTGTACTTATGTAATAGTAAATAATATCAAATTTAATATGATATAAGTAAAAATAAATAAATACGGGTTGACATTTTCATTTAATGTACGGGTGTTTAATTGTTATGATTAAAAAAGTATAATTTAATAATTTAATTAAAGCCCAAAGTAATGTTTTATATAAAATTAAATTATTTTAATTTTGAAAAAAATGTAAATAAAACTATTAATGTTGTGTACAAAGAAATTTTTCAAAAATTGAAATAGTATTGAATTTAATATTTTTCTATTTTTGCACTTTTATATGACAACATGTGTTTTTTATATTATTTTATATTTTATATTTTTTTTCAACCAACCCGTGTAATACACGGGTGTCATACTAGTAAAATTTTATTTGTAAATAATCTGATAGAAATATTTGAATCTCTACGAGATGCCCAATAATTTTTAATTACCATGTAAAAGATAATTATTAAGGTGATTGGTAATTACTTGGTAACTGCCTCATTTAATGAGATTCTCTTCTTTTTTTTTTATTTTTTTTTTGTAACTTTCATACAAAAGTCCTCCATGCCTCATACAACCTCCATTCTTCTCCATTAATTGGAGTGAATTGGTGTGCCCGGTGTCAATTTTGGTGGGTAGTTCTCAACGGTCTAATCGTGTTCATGAAGGGGCGTGGTGATGCTCCGCGAAGATATGGCCATGATTTTCATGTGGGCTGCATTACGAAATTGTTGTTAATGAAGACTCCACTCTGCAAGAAATCTACTATAGATGAGAACAAGAAGGCATAGAGACGTTTTGACGCCCATGTAGGGATTGTTTGGTCAAAATCCATCAAAAACCGTCGATCTACGACCGCGTCGTGATCACCATCATGAAAATCTACACCATTGATGACATCACCTCTCCTTCCCAGCTTTCCCTCTTCATCTCATCCGCTATCCGCTGTGGAATATTTTTATTTTATTTATGTTGTTTACAATATATGTTTATGATATGTAAACTTTATGTTATTTTATACATTTTTTCAGATACACCTTTTTTTTTTCGAAATACAGGTTTATAATAGGTAGTCATGTGGTTGATAAAGATTTATATTTGTATATGTTACCGTTTTGTTTGAGATATAAAACTGTAAGGTATATAACATGGTATACTCGTTGTACAATAAGTGTTTCTCCAAACATGTTTATGTAAGGTATATAACAGAGAATACTAGTTGTACAATAAACACAATCCTTACTATATATGTATTATTTATAAAAATAATATATTGTAAAACATATATTGAACGACAATA